TTGGTAATGGTCTTATGCTTTACTCAATTAACAAAATCATCTCTAAACAATTAAAAAATAAATGATAAACTATCATAAAAAATACAGTATATGTCCAGATTATTTTTAATAAGACTGCAGCCAAAGGCTCACAATAATTATATAACATACATTGCATTACTGTTGTTCCTCGGATATACGCCGATCATTACTCCATGCTCAGGTATAGATACCAGGCTTTCCTTGGGCTGACTTTTTCCAGAAAAAGGCTTGATTGAGATCTACAGTGCTGAAAAATCATTGACCATCCCTGCAAATTATAACACATGCTGCAGTATCATTTTAAACAATTACTGGCAGTTTAAAAAGGGCTTTGAAACCTTCTCTAGGTATATCACCACCAGTCAAAATTGGCCCAATTTTTTGTTGTTGCTGTTGTTGCTTATATATACCAGAGGAACTATGGTATAAGATGGAAAGAAATAATTATTTTTTTTGTCTATTTCTCTTATAAAATCATGTGGTTTTTAGTAATATTTTAAAATTCCTTACATTCCTTAAGCAAAGCTTCATTCTTTATCATAGATAAACAGAAACAGAATTAAAAAAAAAAATACAAGAAAATACTTGCAGTTTTCTTTAATTACCATTAGTAACCTCTCCTTGAGCACGCTATTCACTTGTGCGATACTGATCAGCTGATTTGCTCTCCTTCAAGAGGGCTTCCCTTTAAAAACGCTTTGTACAGCTTTGACGTCAGCCATTGAGCATTGCCTTACATGACCACTCAAGCGTGTAATAATAACCATCGTACTCGGTTTAATTCTAATCACAACCACCTCTGTAAAACGATGACATCAAACTATAAAGTGCAGCACTTGTTATTGCAAATTCAAAGGTCATTAGTGGTCTTCCCTAAATTGTTTTAATGAATGGCGGTGAAATTTCTAACCTCAAATTGAATACCTCGCATAATTTACTCGCTTTGTGGCCAGGGCTGCTTATGGCTAGAAACTTAATTAGAAACTGATAGTAATAATAATAAATTTTAAAAAATGTAATAACAAGTAGAAAAAAGAAGAAAAAAGAATACAATACCACCAGTGGGGTAGAAAAGTATTTTTCATTGGGGGGGATGATTGGCGTGTTAGCCAGTGTTATAACAGGCGCGGGGGGGACTGCCCCTCCCCTGACGGTTTTGACCAGGCTGACCAAGCCGTCGTACCGGGCTGGGTAATAAGAGAAAAGAAAGAGGGGAGAGGGAGGGAAAGAGAAAGAAGAGGAAAAGAAAAGGAAAGGAAAGAAAAAGAGAAGAGAAAAATAAAGACAATAATAAAAAGGAAGAAGATATCATAATGACCAGACTCACAACACCCTGCAACCCCTTCTCCACTTCAAAAACTGTCATAACTCCTTTGATCTATGCTGCCCGATGGCATAACCACTGGGAGACAAGGGGAAAATATCTATCTTTGAAAAATCTTCCCCACCCCTTTATAAATGCCCTTCCTTTCATCCCCTGAAAGTGCCTAAAAACCTCAAATATCGCGCGCATTTCTTGTTAACATGGCCCAATTTCCTCTAAAAATTGCACATTTTAGGGAGATTT